CATCGAGATAATTTGCGGACTGTAGACACAGGGCAGCAGGATTCTTCATGTGGATGCTTGCAGCCTTTAATGGGTAACTTTCCTTTTTATCACCACAATTAGGTTTCTGCGTTTAAAAGCTCACCTCCGCAATGTAAAACACCTTCTTGTCGATGTCTGATTCTACTGAATGGTATTGAATTTGTGGGGAATCTTGGCAGCTATGAACTGGTCCTAACAGAAGCTGAAAGCCTATTAGTGACGTTGCATTTTCCCCATTGACAAGTTTTGGCTTTTGTTAACTGTCTGCAACTAATTCATCTTTTGTGTACAGGCCAAAGACACACAAAGTCTACAATGCACAAAATGTGAGCTCACACAGATTATCCCCCATTTCAGTGGGACGACAACTGTATCTTTTCATGAAAAACAAAGCTTTAAACTGTTCCCCAAATGTCCTGGCTGAAGGATTAAATGAGAAATTATGCTGTTTTTTTATGTTTCTATAGTCTGCTTTAGGCAGTTTGTACTCTATTAACCCTTTCTTTGAAGAAAGAAATAACAAAGAGAGGAACAAAAAGAAACAGGTTGATCCTTTCACATCATTTAACACCCTTTTTTCGAAAGCTGATGAACCATCAGGAATACAATGTTCTCTTTACATCTGCAGCCCAACCCTAGAACACAAAACTCTGTGAGGTGTAGTACAACTCAGTGCACTTAACCGAGCAGCCTGATGGCAGAAATGCAAACTCTGCTTGTATAATACGTGGGTGGAGGAGGTTGTTTAGCTGCAGAGGAATGTATGGGTGGACAACCTTGAAAGTCTATATGTCAGTTTGCCGTTGTGGTTGCTTTGAAAAAGGTTACATTCTGACAACAGAGACGCTTGTTTGATGTTTGAAAGATGCGGTTTTATAAGGCTTGCGCTGCTTGTTATGTTTTTGATCATTTTTTCAATATAAATGAGAGTTTCACAGATTCTCACATCATCCAGCTAGATATTGTGAAGCTGTTTATCCTTGAAATAAGCTTTGTGTTGCACTTTACAAAGAATAATTTGTGTGCAGGTACAAATTGTACAATATGACCTAGAAACATAGGAATTATCACATAGTTATTATAGAAGAGTAGCTGAATGTTGAGATACAGCTTCTACTAATGCCAGAATGATTATATTACCTTTTTATTTGATGCTGTCTGGTTTGCACAGAGTGATGCTGGGAGAAGGAGTGGGTGCTCGTGTCACTGATGTGAAGTCCCTGAGTGGAGTCGGTTGATGCAGTGTTCCTCACTCTGCCTGTTGTTGTGCTCTTCTGCTGCTCTGCCCCTCTATATGTAAGCAAAGAAGGCTTAATGAACCGTGCAGTATCTAACCTGATCCTTCCTTAATGTTGTCAAAGTTGTTTTAGAGTTTGGCGGCCTGGCAAACAAGCAGAAAGACATTTGGAAACTTGGGTAAAAGCTATAGGTTCTGTGTTAAAACCACTGTTTTTCAGAGTGTTGTTGTACATTTTGGCTAATGCTTTTGTGCCTTTGTTAGTTGGCTGGTAGTATTGCATTAGCTTCAATGGGTTCTTCCTTTGGCAGTGCTAGACCCTTACTAATTTTATTGTAATCCGGTGAGCCTGTTTGGTCCAATTATGCTGACAACAAAAGGCGCAAAAATCCTGGGGTATATCTGACAGTCCCAGCATTTATTCTTTGAGGGAACCTACCCAAAAGGATAAATAAAGTCGTATCTAATCTAATCTTAACTAATCTAATCTAATCTAAAATGAACCTAAAAATGAAGTCTACAGGGTGAGAATTTTTCCGGACAAACAAGTTGTAATTTTTATCCTTGTCTTAACAAGAAACAGCCGGCAATGTTAGGGGGTACACCATCCAACTTGTTACCTAATAACACAATGCATTCCCCTTGTCAACCCTCCATTAGCTCTAGTTACCAGCCAAGTCCAGCTGCCTATTAGGTTTTTTTTAGGCGCCTGTTTATTTACTTGGTGCTACCGAGGTGCCCTCAAGGAAGGCACAGACCCCCAAATTTCTCATGGTACTCATCTATGAGCAAGCTGCCCCAATTTGACGTCTCTCCATTAGTGTATGTTTTACACAATCTGCATGGAATCTTGTCAGTGCATGTGTGTATTTAGCATATTTTGTGTGATGCCCAAGTCTAGAGTGAAATGCAGGCTGTATGATAGATCTGAAACAACCTGGATCCACTTTTTCTTAAGATTTGTCAAGATTGTGTCCTGCAGAGAAGGGAAAGGAGACAAGATTTCTGTGTTTGTCAAAAATGAAATGAAATGAAAGACGACACAACATATCAAAGAAGCAGCAATGGAATGAACAGACAATGATTCAGTTATCATTTGTTATCTTCATTTACATATCTACATTACTAACATGCTGTCTTAGTGAAAATGTCATTGCAGGCACACAATAAAACCAGCAATGCTGTAGAAGTGACAGCAGCTTAATTAGCACTGAAAGTTCGATTCCTCCTGACAATAGATCGCCAAAATCAACCAGGAAGGCGAACTTAACATTTGAGTCTTTAATAAAGTGAATTTTGAATGACTTTTTTTTTTTTCACTAAATTTGTGGTCATATCTGAAACTTGGCTGTGTGGCCTCTCTAGAACCTTGTAATCAGCACTACTCCTCTTTCATCATAGCATTAAGGGGAGGATGTATCATGGGCATTGTGGATGTTTTGGATTGGCTTGGATAACCAACATGGTGGAAGATTTAAAGTCCCACTCCGATTGTTTTTTTAACTACTTAAAGTGTTCTCAGTGGCCTTTAAATTGTGATTATGAAGTTTTTACCAAAAATCATATTACCTGTGTCATTTTCAAGGGCTTTTCTTCTGTAGAGTTCCAGAAGATTATTAGCAATTCGCCTCTGAGTCATGGGTGGAGACAGGGGGCGGAGCTTGGATTGATTACATGTTAAATCTCACTGTTCTTGCTGTTTGGGTCTGCCAGAGATTCACAGCGATTTGAATGGAAAAAATACTCAGTACAATTTTGCATTTAGTTTTCTAATGATATGTCCCGAAGCATCAGAAAAATGCCATATTAAAATATAAAAAACAAGAAAAACATGATTTTCATTGGAGTGGGTCTTATAGTGAATCGGTTTAGGGTTTTGGTGTTCCCTGTGGGCTATCCCCCCTGTTAAAATGCGGATGTTCAGTCAAAGCCTGTTCGTCATTCAGATCGTGTTTCCTTCAGTGGTGCCGTTCATGGTTGATAGAGCAGCAGTCAATGATGGAATTAAACAGGGCAATAAAGAAAATAGGTATTTCAACAGTTGTGAATCACTGCATTCACGGAAGGTCAATGAGCAAACAGGCATAAACAGCCTGATTGTTCCGGAAGTATGCGAGACTTGCACTCAGCACACTCAAATGCGCTCGTTGACACATACACAAGGACACACTCACACAATTTAGTGCATGATTTCCTAAAGGCTAATGCCTGGCAGAGATAATGGACCAAATGTAACTTGAATTTAAATCTAAATTTGGCAGATTTAATTAGCTGCCCACAGCTCCTACACTGTGACATAAAACACTTTTATGGCTTTAAGGTAAAGATGATTTGACAGTTTTCCACAAGTACCAACTATCTAAAAAGCCACTCTGTGCATATTTTGAAATGAAATTGGTGGGATATCACCTGGAAGAGGGATATCCAGGTGAGGGAACGGTGAAAAGTAAATAAAGAACTGTAGAGAGTTTGCAGGATGACAGCAAACTTATAAAATTTCTTTTAAATTTCTATTTGAATATCATACAAATGTATATCAGTGCACCATCAAATTTTAACGCTGTCTTGAGAGTATACTCTATAATTCCCACATGAAGCATTGCTGTTTTAGCGGTGAACAGCAACACTGCAAGCAAGATGACTGCAAAGACAAAAGCTGAAACTTTGAATCCATAAAGTACCTTTCACCAGATTCAGTCCAGATCTCATTAGATGGCTCATGCATAAAGCAGCAGTGACATTAATTCCTCTGCACTGCCAGTCAAGGGACCTGGATCAGCACAGCATCACTACATCCTGCCAGTCTGTCTTGTCTGATGATCAATAGCAGTGAACAGAAGGCAGCTGGAAGCTTCCCTCTCAAAACTTATAAAGTGTGCCAACTCATTTTGGTTGGCACTCATAGATTAGTCTTTAATCTTTCTGGCCTTTGCAAAACCCTTTTCATCTTTGATAAAATTAACTGTCTACTGAGAAATCATAAGCCTGCACAATAACAACAACAAGGACATTTTGGACAGATGATTCATGGATAAGTGTAAAAAAAAAGCTGATTGAGGTTTACAATAATATACATCATGTTTGGCCAGAGAAATATTTGAATTCACATGTACTCTTTTAATAAGCCTTGATGGTTAAAATCATCTAGTGTTATTCATGATAAGTAGGGTTACATAATCCGGGGATTTTCAAAGTTGGAAACTTTCCATGTGAATTAACGGGAATTAATAAAAAAATAAAAAAATAAATACGAATAGTTGCTAAATGTAAGCTATTTTTCATTACATTGTCCATTTATGGGGCTAGCTTATTATGGTGGTGGTAGCTACCTCAAATGTGATGCTGTTTCTTCTGATTCCTGCAAGATGGTTATCTGAAACCGTACAATAATTTATTCATTAATTGTCAAATATTTTGAAGACCATTGCAGTTGTTTAGCCAACTATATTTCTGTTCATGCCATTGCATTCATGTTTTTACAAGCATTTTTGTTATTTTATTCAACAGAAAAATGCCACATTCACCATCTGATGTGTGGAAGCATTTCACACAAGCTTATGTTGAAGGAATAATATTTACATTTATGTTTGGATATGAAACAGTTTGTTTAAATTACCCCCAATTTCCATAAATTCCCATAATTCCCATGGAAAGTTTCAAATTTGGTATATTTTTAAAATTCCCAGGCTTAGCTTCCCATGGAAAGTTTCTGGAAATTTATCGGAAATTTACCAGAAAATTTCCACCCCTATGCAACTCTAATGATAAGTCATGTAAACTGAAATGCTTTCAAGTTTTCCTTTAGTGATAATGTTTTCCTTCCTTTGGTGATAACGTTTTCCTCCTATTGTCTCAAAACGCTAAGGTTTACTCGTATGTAGGGCTGCAGCTATCGATTATTTTAGTAATCGAGTACTCTATCGATTAATCTGTCGATTAATCGAGTAATCGGATAAGAAATGTTTTGCTCTCACTGTAATACTTTGCATTGAATCACGTTTGCCTCATTAAAAACCATCAGTAACACACAAAACTGAAATAGGCCAGGTCTTTCAAATGAATATTTTTACTGCATAAATCAGGAACCAAAAGTTTTACATTTTACCATGTAGTTCACATGAAACTACTGAAGGCAAGGTCTGCAGATGGTCTTTTAATTGCTATGGTAATGATCTTTGCAGTTTTCACTAAACCAGTCACAACTATTTCCAGGCTTTGGATCTAATTTTACTTGTTTAATTAATAGGCTGAAATAATATAATTCTTGGATACTAACATAATTTGACAAGCAAATGTACATTTATTCAATATATAAAAGTGTTACATTTTTATTTACATGTTGTTGTGTGTTGGTCATTTTGCAGCCCTCTGCTGCTTATCACACGCCTAGCAGGTGGTGTATAGCATTATCACCATGGATACACGGATGTTTGTGTGATTTTTTTCATCCACTGCCGCCCGGTTTGTGTCGTGTAGATGTTGATTATGAAAACACTTCGCAATAATTTGGAAACGTGAAGGGGGAGCTGCTGCTGCCCGGTGTTTACGGTAAATAGACGCAAACACCGACCAAGTTGACGCTTCGGTCTCCGAAAACGCCGAGACAAATTTACAAACAGCCACTATTTCAAACAACTGGGCTCATAATCGTGATGTAAACACTTACTTTCTCGCTAGAAAAAATATTATTATTGAATGAATTTATATAATTTGTCCGGGATGCAGTCGTTCTGTGTGGCTTGTGGTAGGACTATTTAAATTTTCCCGGCGCTGCGTCCGGCCGGCACGAAATGCATTCTGGGGTATTTAGTATGTATGTGTGTAAACGCTCGGGCAGCCGCGGCATACTCAAATCATCTTTGAGTAGTCAGTAGGCAGTAGCTACTGCTTGAGTAGGTAAGTAGATAGCAGGCAGTATGCCATTTCGGACACAGCTTCTGTCTGTCCTCGTTTCCCTCCATGATTGAACCAAACGCGCGGCAGCGGAAGGAGCGGAAAGAGCACGCTTCTGCGCAACAGAAATAACCGTCCGTGTCAAACACCGTGCGCTGCACATGGTTCCGGATTTAAACGATTCCTCGAGGCATATAATTTGCCTCGAGGAATTTTATTAATCGAGTTACTCGAGTTACTCGAGTAATCGTTTCAGCCCTACTCGTATGTGCCACAAGAAAAGGCTTTTGTTGTCATGAGTGTGGTACTCTGAGATTCAGCGCATTTCTTGTCACAAATCAGATGTGATAAATAAGTAAGGCTTGGAGATGTCGACAAAAGGCAATTGCTTATTTTTTCACAACACATCTGATTTATGATTTTAAAGGGTTTCATTACTGCTAATGATATCTGATTTCTTGCAGATGTTTGAAGGCTGCTGTCTCGTACAGACAATTTACAACAGACAGTTGTTTGCTTCAGGTCTGACTCTGCAAAAAGCAAACCACCTCCAGAACTCTTGGGAGTCCTTTTTTGAGAACAAACAACTCACTGTTTGTGCATTGTTAGTTTAAGCGCATGCTGCTATGTTGACATTTTATCCATGCCCTAAGAGAACTCTCATTTGCATTATTATGAACAACAAGGGAGAACAAGGGAGGTGCTGCAACTCTGCAACAACACAACGAAGGTGCTATTTATATTGGGCTTTATATTCAAAAGTTATAAACACAAACGATTTAAATTAACTGATTAAATTTAATAATGGTCAAGCTTTCAGACAAGGACTTTTTGACTCCTGACATATTTGAGACTACTTGAATTCTAAATGTAAAAAGCTGTATAAATTCTGATTATTTTCGTTTATGTTTTCAGATTTACAGAAAAAAAAGGTTGTTTTGAGAGTTTGTGTTTTAAATTGCACAATAAGTCGACTCAACAGAAAATGCTGAGTCGTGCTAGTTGACACCAGAATTACCTGTAAGTAATGATGAGTGTAATGATGGCAAACGAGTATTTTTGTTTTTGTAGGTCCAAAATGGCGGTCATAGATTATGTCTTACTCGTAGAGCAGCCACCCTCCACCAGCTGAGAGCTTAGTCCAAGTCAATGTCTACTTCCACAATGCTGTAATGCTCTACTACTCATACATGAGCAGTTGGGATGGCATCTCTGTACAGCAGTGTATTGATCTAGAAAACGATTAGTTTGTGCGGTGGCTGTGTCTGGTTTAACCGCCATTTAAAGTCCCACTCCGATAGTTTTTTTTAGTACTTAAAGTGTTCTCAGTGGTCTTTAAACTGTGATTATGAAGTTTTTAGACAAAATCGTGTTACCTGTGTCATTTTCAATTGCTTTTCCTCTGCAGAGTTTGAGTAGATCATTAGCAATCTGCCTCTGAGTCGTGGGCGGAGACAGTGCTGCTCTGTACACTTCTCGAGTTAGCTTGCAGCCTAACATTGCCGATGTTGTAGAAGAAATATAGGAGCTATTCAGCTTTCGAACACTATTGTCTTTAGGGGCCTGACGAATGCTAATATAATTAGCTTTCTTACGAGCGTTTCAATCCGCTAACACAGACGCTTGTTCTGTGATCGTTCTCTCTATTTCTCCGAGCCTGAAATCTCACTGTATCTGATGCCGCTGTTTGGGTCTGCCAGAGATTCACAGGGATTTGAATGCAGAAATACTCAGAAATGCAATTTTACACTACTTTTTCTCATGATATGTCGTGTAGCATCAGAAAAATGCCATATGAACATGTAGACAGCAAGAAAAACATGATTTTCATGGGAGTAGGTCTTTAACGCACTCGACTAGTGTGATACAGTACCTAACCAGCCCAAACAAGGGCTCTTGACATTGTGTACCTGCAGACTCTGTAATCTCACATTTAAATGTGTCAAATACATTTTGTTAAATTTTGACTTCTATCTAAATGTTTTCTCACCTTTAGACTTGTTCGTTAGTTGGGTAGGAATTTTGTTGGTTGAAATGGTTGGAAAATTGATTGTCTTATGACATCTATAATCTTTGATAAGATTGAATAATTTTTGTTGTTGTGCTTATGAAACACTAATTTTGGCTTCAGGGCATAATCACCAGAACTGGTTTTCTAAAATTCTCTTGACCTTTTTCTCTTGGAAGCATCGTCTGACTGATGCTTAAATCCCCAAACAGTTCTTTTCTTTGGTGTGGTTGACATTTACTGTGGATGCTTTGCTTTCACTCAGGATGACGGGTGTAGTTACCCTGGTATCCTTTCTACATTCCTTCCTTTCTATCCTTGCTATTCCTCCTTGCAGTGATACCTGAGCAAAACAATATCCCAAACCATCCAGCCATATTCTATTTTTTGTGATTGTGTGTGTGTTTTTTTGGGAAAGTTATTTTTCTGGCTTTTTTTTTCAGATATTAGATTGGACGGCTGGGGAGACGTGATCAGGGGAACAGGGAGTGAGAGAAGACATGCAGAAAAGGGTTAAGGTAGAAAATTGACTGCTACAAGGAGGTCTGTAGCTTCTGTACATGTGCCTTGGCCTTGAAGCCATACCAATGCCCGCTGTATTATTTTCTGATTTTTGATGAGCACTGTGAGGCTCATGAATGTGACAGTAGAGATGTGCCCTTGTTTCTGTAATTGACAATTATAATAGACATTTCAGATGCCCAATTCCAGATCACTGGTCCAGATAACAGGAACAGGCAGCAACATAAGCCTGCTGTTTAATTATGCCGCTGTCCTGCTTGACTCTGTTTGTGCGGTTACAGTTGATTAACATGTAGCTATATCTGAGAGTATCATAAGGAAAGCTTTTGTGTTCATTATTACATTATTTACCCTAGATATTAAGAGCTGTATGGTAACCATGTTTGGCAGAGAGTTAAATACCAGATAAATACCATTGACTAATGTCCTCTGTGGTACACTGGATTATAAAATAAGTTGTGTTGCAATGCCCCGTTCAAACAGTATTTGGTAATATAAACAGACAGAGCAGGACATAAGGTTGAAGTGGTTTGTGGTAAACCTCTGTTGCCATCTTCCCTGTCGCTGTCTTTTATATTGCTGAGGGTTTCGCCCTTGTGCTCAGATCCATAAGAGATAAGATGAAATGAAACTTTATTGATCCCTGTGGGGAAATTCTGTCACTGCAGCAAAGCGGCAAAGAAATCAGTTTTAACAGGAAAAAAGGAAGCGTAAAATAAGAACATAATAAGAAGAATAAAATGAGAAAATGAAGAGATACATATAAAGAGTATGAAGAACTGTGTGGTTATGCAAACACATCAAGCACTTTAAACAACACTGTTAAAATGTGAGCTATGCAGGGGGATTAATAACATTAATGGATCTATTTGCAATTGGAGTTTGGCATTAGAGTCGGGTGTAAAAACAATGTATCTTTACTCTGTCGTATTTTCCATTTTCCCTCCATTAGAAATGCTTTAAAGAGTTGAAAAAATGCTGATAGTAATCAAGGGTAATAAAAGTAAATGTGCACACAGCAAAAAGAGCTCTGCATTATCAAACAAGCAGAGAATGGCTGCATTTGTTTATGAGCGTGATTCAAAGCTCTCTGCCAGCGGGGACTTGGTGTGTATTAGTGTTTGGTTCAGTCTAGACGGGGAGGGTTGTGTTCGCTGCAGGCGTACACTGCATCTCCCTCCTCTCTGCTCTGTCTCTTCTTCTTTTTTGTCTCCCTCTTTTTCCGTCTTACCTTCTCTCTCTGCCTTTCTCTCGCTATCATTATATCAGAACAAGGGAATGATGACTGTGTGTGTGTCATCGACTCCCTTTGTCTCTGAGTGTTGGGGATGTGGAGTGTGACACTATCAGAGAGAAAGCTTAAAAATACACCTGTTATAAATGTCACACACATGTACTCAATGAGAGGCTTAAAAAGTCATAATGATTCAATATTTACATTTACGTGTTTTCTTCAGGAGGTGTCTGGTGGATTCTGTATGTTCTCCTCTTTTCAAAGCTACTTTTTTTTTCAATCAATACAGCAGCTGAAGAGTGACTTCATATGTTGGGGCAAATACTGATGTTTTTTTTTCATCCCACAGCCTCTGTACGTGGGACGCTTGTTTGCACAAATAGATCGGTAGTGGTAACACTTCCAATATACACTTCAGATATACACACTTAGATACTAGCTAAAGGACCTTGATGGGATTCTATTTTGTATGACCTCTGACCTATACCTCGCTCCCAAGTAAGTATACCAACACAATGACATCAAGTACCAATATATGGATGACTTTTTCGTTTTAAACTGACTTATTGAAACAGCTAAGAATATTGTTACTCACTGTTTCAATGGTTGATAGCTCTTCCATGGCAGCAGTATTCTTACCTTTTCACTAGGGCTGGGCGATTAACCAAAATTTACCAATACCAAAATTTACGACAGTAAGCAACGTCATTTTGCCCATGTCAATTTATTCGTTGTTAAAATAAAGTGACTACATAAAAGTTGGTTTTGGATGTGTATAGGTAGACTATGTCCACCCCATCCAGTCCGTAACAAATAGGGAAAGACAGGTGAGCAGATGGAGGACAGTTCAGAAGTAGATGAAGTAGAAAAAGTTTTTGTGGGAGGGGGTGAGCAGCTTGTGGGAATAGTTATCGTCCATCTATTATTATTTGGTTGAATTGCTCAATATATTGTGACATATATATCGAGACCATACCCCCTAGCCCTACTTTTCACTCAATTAATGTTGAACTTTACACTTACGTTTATGGCAAAGTCAAAGTATCAGCATTTTTCTGTTTGCATTTTGAAAGAATGCAGAAATCAACCCAATTGGCTCCTCTGTAGCATTTCTGTTTTTTCTCCGGCATTTTCCCGTGACTCAACCAGAATCTGTAATGCTGCCATGTCTGTCCTCTTCAATTTGTTTGATGTCTCTGTCATCTAAAAGGCTCACTGCTTGTCAACATTCATAACTGTTATTAATACTTAAATGCTCATTTATTAGGGCTTTATAGATTAGTTTATGATGCATTCTAAGAGAAGGGTTCATTTTAAGTGCTACTGCTTATAAATTCTCTCTTTTTGCTGCTTTGAATGTTTAACACAATGCCTGATGTTTACTCTTGATTTGTTATTGTAGGTCTTTATTTTCTGGGTTCACGAGCAGAATCATCGACTCTCAATCGCAGCTCCTACAGACACTTACAAAAGTAGCCTTGAGCAAGACACTAAAAGCACAGCTGTTTTAAGTGGCAATGCCAGTAGAGTGTACATACTTATGAATGGGATTAGTCAATATTAGTGAGCACTTCACCAAGCATCCTCTGCCATTGCCGTATGAATGGGGGTTGAACGGCTGAATGT